GCTGAAAGATAATTCAAAAAGAAGGCGGCAGCATCTGGTCGGGAAATACATGTAATAATTTTTTTTTAAAAAAAATCTGCCTTCATGCTTAACACACTTAAAATGAAAATTTGGGTTAAGATTATTTGAGCTATAAAAAAAATGGGATTACAGTAATAATAATAAAACAATGCGTGTTAATAGCCGTTGGTTAATAACTTGACGTATAGGTAGTAAGTATTTTGTGTTTAGAAATATTAAAGTAATGAATATTGTAGAAATGTTAATATTGGTATTAGTTTTGGTTTAAATTATGAAACCAATTAACAATTATGCCGGTAACCCGTCCATATGTGATTTCCAATTGCATCTGTATTAGTAGGCTAACTGGGAGAACAAAAGTATTACCATGGAAAAGAATTCCAACTAGTGTTCCAGTTAGTTTGATACGGTTTATTTAGTTACGGGGAGATTTTCTCAACTTCATTTTTACTTGACCGTGATAGAATTTAGTAATACTACTAATACAGATGAATGGTTATCAAAACAAAATTTAAATACGTGAGTGATAATTATATGAATTTTGGACAGATAGCTAGGAACAAATCGTTAAACATGAGTGTATTCGTAAGAGACATGCTCTGGACTCAATGTTCTGATCTGCAATAGACTATTTATTTATATTTATACTTGCTGGCTGATTGGGCATGCAAGTTAGTTGCAAGTATGCAGTTTATCATAAGGCGGAATAAGATTAAATTGAGATATAGTGGTTATAGGTTATGAAAATCAGTTAGGCCTGTGTCATATTACGAAGTGATGTGGTGCCGCAGGATGTATTCGGCTAAATAAGCTTTTACAAGATGATTAACAGTGAGTGATGCTCATGTGATTATCAGGAAGAACACAAGTTGTAACCAAGGGGAGTACACTCCCAACTCACGTCTATGATAATGGCTTGAACCTTAGTCAGTGTTGGGGTAAATTCGACATTGATGTTTTCAGTTTGCAGGAGATTTGCTCGACTGCTTATACTGATTATTTGCATGCATGATTGTGTCGCTAAACCTCCAATTAGACTGACAAGGTTTTGAGATATTTACTGAATGAGCAACTGAGAGAGAAACATACTGTAATCATCCGTAGTGAATGAAGATAAAAGAAAAACAACACTAGTGATAATAATAAGTCAATTTGCTGACCGATTTTGTTAATAGTCTCATTAATTTTATCAATCATATTACGTGATTGTCCTGACAATGCTTTATGACGATATCCTGAAACTATTATGTTTAACTACTTATAGTGTTGATTAAGGATTAGTCAGTGGAAAAATAGGTATTGTTGCTTTAGGTGATTCGAAATTATCGGAAAATTGTAACGTTAAAGAATCCGAGACGCCTAATTTAATTATAAATTTCAATTCAGAAAGATTCCTTTAGTGTTAATTCTAGTAGGCTACGGAGTTTTGATTTTAAACGTTTGTTTAGCCAACAGCTACTTGGGGATTTAGTTATTTCACTAGTGCAGTTGATAGTACCTAAATTTTTAATCTTATTATCTAAACTATGTTCGCATTTTAGGCTGCTAATATGATAAACTAATCCATAAACCCAAATACGATTAGCAACAACGACTATGATGGGTTTATTGATAAATGTTAAAGGCGATTCAGATGATTTCTAAATTTAGAAGACATGTAGATATAGTGTAAGGTATGTATGGGCCAGGTTAACATGCAGGTTGTTGACGTATATGACGATTTAAAAATAATGAACATGACCAGAAAATAGTTTTAAAGTTTAGACTGCTTGTGAAACTTCAGGCAGGAATATGATGCGTTATAAACATTCCATAAGAAGTTACTGCATTTAGCCTAGGGACACTTACAAATATATGGCAAAAGGAACCGGAAAACATATACATGTTAAGTAAAAAAAAATCATCCAGTAAAATAGTTGAACTCGCATGGATTATTTTTGAAAATTAGATTATTCAGTGGACGACATATATAACGCCATTCGTGAGGAGTAGTAATGATCCAAAAGCATCCAGAATAAAACATACAGTATGGCAATCACTTCCAGGGTGCTTGATGCTGTTGAGGTCTTTGGGACTCGCTCTGATCAGAACAACTGAATGAATCCAGATAATTGTGTGTGCCATCTAAAATGAACTTATGATTGCAGAAAACTTATAGCTGGAACTCACCGTATGTTTTTGGAGTAGTCATCCTCGTTGTTTGGCAATGGAACTCGAGAATATGAAATTAGGCAGGCAGTGGTCAGAAGAAAAGATATTACAGGATAGTGCATCGTTTAAAACAGGATGTGGTGTTAAGTGAAGAAACACTGAGAATTAGATCCAGATAACTATTTAGTCCTTGATCGCATTGTTAGTCAATGTATATTTACGCTATTTACAGGTCATATTTGCTAGAGCTTGATGTTTAAACAAGACTATGTCGCTGAAGCATGTAAATGCTATTACAGCTTGTTAACAAACCATCAAAGCTAATTAGTTAATATAGACGACCAGTTTTTATTATCGATTGAGCTAGTTTGTCATGAGGACTAATCAATATAACATTACGATAATGCATGTGAGCATTAATCAGAGGACTATTGGAATACAGGGTTAACATAAATATAAAATCGATCGAGAAAGTTGAAGTGGAAATAAGGATTAATAATATTAGGTTACGTTTCTTTAGTTGGGCTCACCAATGTAGAACTATGGTCTACTACGATATTAGTACTGCTCTAATAATAGACCTAATCCTAAATTTGTAGATTCGTCATGATATAACTGCCTAATCTATAAGATCTTACGTGGAAGTCACACCATCGACTACGCCAACTCACTGTATCGTATCAATTACCAATACATGATGAAGGACAAGGTTAAGTTAGAGAAGGAACAATATATTTAATATGAATAGAGACCACGCCTGCATGGCCGAGCCATGCCACTCGATCAACTCCAGTCCATTCAATTCATTGTTCGCGCCTTCTCCATTTTTAGGTATTTCTCCGCGTTAAATATTGAATATCTAGTTTCTGAGTAGTCTCGTGTTCACAGCTTTGTGGATTGTGTGGCTATTGTCCAATGCCACTACACACTCTCCCTGTTGTAACGCTACAAGAACAAGTTAATAGCCATATAAACGAACTTATGTAAAACTAAAAAGATTTTAATATTCGAACTTCTTGTTATCAAGAAGCAAAGCTATGGTCAGTGAGAACAATGAATTCTGACGATGTGGCTTCAGCATTAGCACCGATTGAACTCATAACTTGTGCGCATATGTCTTCTGATGCTTCGAGGCATGAGCGAAGGTTCACTAAGAGCATGGATTGAGTGGTAGTTGTCACTGAACTTCTTTAACAGATCTTCACTCCCTATAGAGATTGACATGTTGTTCAGCTCACGAAGAACGAAGTTCATTATGTGTTTCCTTGTCCACTGGCTGCTATGCCGAAATAGGTCTCATGGGGACAAATAAACACACACTTACCTCCACGAACCAGATCCTTAGAATGAGCATACAAAATATGACCACAGGGCATATGGTCATTGAAACGCTCACAAGCACATCGTGCACGTGAAGTGTCAACAACGTACATCATACCCTTGTCATAGCAGTGGATATATTCACCTGCTATAAATTCATGTCTCATTTTCCTAACACGTTTATAATTTTCAGCTACAATTTCAGTTGCAAAAGCTGTGAACTCATTTAAAATAGTTCGGAATCACAGTAGAACCTGGGATTAACGATACATTTAACTATATTTCTTACCTCAAGCAATGGAAAACGTTGAAGATCCGTCACAGCGTCATATGGATGCAAATGTAGGTCAGTGTCTGTTTTACCCCAAATTTCCCAGAACGCCGACAGAAGAGACTCACCTCCTCTGAGACATTCTTTTAGGTATTTATGAGCACCCTCGACACCATTGTTCGATTGTGCGCCCAGGCTTAGCACATGCCACCGATAACAGTGAGCCCTCATTGACTTCCGAGCAATCCAGTTATCTCTTATATAATCAAATGCCTGTGGAAAATGGGTTCTTAGGTGTTCATACCTCTGAGTAAATCTGAATATAATGCGTTATGAAAAGCGATGCTCACATGCTAAATTGCCTGTTTTTTATGAGATCTTCCAAGTATTTGCGTACATAGAGATTTCTGAAATACAGCAGTCTGTATCGCTAACAGTTACCTTTCTGAAAAATGCTCTTAAGACATGGAATGAGCACAGTATTATTTTGGCATGACTGTGAGTAGGCTGTACCGCTGGAATTTCGGTCGCTGCCGAATCCATAACGGTAGTACGTGTATCATAAATACCACGCATTATGTCTTTGAAGCATTCCAGTAGTCTTACGACGTCTTCTCAAAGAGCATACATGACAGTGCGTCCTTGCCCAAGACTATCAGTAGTCACTAGCTGGAACAGTGGAAAACCTTATTACCATTTACTGCACGCACCCAAAATCCACATTCGCAGTGGCAATATTTCGAAATAAAACATACGTAGATGACCGACGTCGTCTTCTTTGTCTAGGTTGTGGTGGTGAGTTAGGAGTTGTATGCTATTCAGAAGAATGATGATCACTACCATCATCTACATCCTGAACGCAAGCATCTGACTCGGATGAACTGAATTTACGTCCATATGTACAGACATACCTCACAAAAATATACTTTAGAGATGAGTCATCATTGTTCTTTATACATAATGACATAACGTACTTAGTATGCGTATACTAAAAAAATAATTATTAACCACAGAAGTCATATTGCCCTATGACCTATTTAAACAGGTCTCAATATTGTCCCAACTTGTAAGTCGTCAAGATAACATAATATCATTGAAGATTCGTCTTACATCATGCATCATCACGATGGCATCGTCTTCGTTACTTGAAGGGTGGACATTACCGGATATGGTGTGGCTGAATTCAATTCAAATTCAAAAATACTTTGATTTGACCGCTTCTGAAAATTTTCACTAATTGTCGATGTGACGCACCAATCATCTTGCGACAGTTTGACCTTCAAGTGCTCGCAACCTCCACCAGTGAACGGTACCCCTGAAGCGTTGCCTGAGAGCGTTGTGATGTAATAGGCTTACTTAAGCGATTTCCCAAGAATTTAGTAAGTACCTAGTAAGTTTTTGGTTATCTGCATAACGATGTACAATTACTGACTGGAGCTTATGTAAATTTCTGTACTGGTTTTGTTTTTTGTAATCCCGTGTTTTTTTAAAGGGACAAACATCTGAAACCTAATAATAATTGACTGACGAGCTGTTACGTGAAACCTACCGTTACATCGTTAATACATCAGAACTCGTTCTTTCTCGTAATTCGGCTACTTCGTGTTCATTGAGTCATCGTTCGTGTATCCGTAATAGACTGCTGAACCACCAAACGTACTTCAGTCTTTCCCCACAGTTTACCGAAAACAACTTACTTGTAAGTTATACACAGCTTTTACAGGCTAAGTAGTTCAGCTTACTCAGATGGTCACTGTGGACTTTTTAAGTACATTCTCTCGGCTTCCTAAACTTATCGTGTTCGATCTCGGTAGGAAAAACAGTAAAGTTAACTTCATCTTTAGACTTCACTCTATGGCCTCTGTGGTGCGACACTCACGTTTATCCTCCATTCATACGAAAGTGAGGCTCGTATAATTTTTTTTTCATGATCGGTGATTTGTTAGAAATAACACTGTATACGATGCTAGTGAGAGACGAGTTGATGTCTACTCAGATGCGCAAGTAATATTGAGGTAGGAATTTAGTGAGATGTACTGTAATGTATTCACTGCTTTACAGGATGATCAAAGAGTCCCCGAAAATTAAATTGGGATGTGCTTCGCGGTAAGTACTAACCCTATTCATCGTATATTTTACTTGGATGCGTAAGGAACTGTTAGTTATGTCCATAACTGACCGACTAAATCGTTGCTTGAACGCCCACTACGTCAGTCTGGTATGTTGTGTCTGTAGGTTATCCCTGTTGCATATGACCTGCCAATTGAAGGATATTGTTATCGTATTACTTTAGTGTGGCTGGTAATTTTTATTCATTTTGATAAGGCACGCACCACTGGTCGGTTTGTTTGTGCATTTAACTTAACGACTATAATCCCTTTAATTACGGTACTAATCGAGTTGTCTTTGCTTTTAAAAACAGATCAAGTTTAAAGCCAAGTTGTCCTTGTCCTGACTATAGCTTTCACATAGACTCTGGGGTCGTCAGTATTGCGTTCACAGTTCTAGTAGAATATCTGTAAGATATATTAAATCCTACAGTAATTATCGGTAAGACTGTAATTTATGGACGACTTTTGGGCAACGTTAAAATGGCCTTAGGATGTCCTAATTATTAGGGTTAAATGAGAGTTATGTATGTATGTATGAGGAATTAGAATTAGGATTTACATTTGAATGTTAGGTTTTGGAATTAGATTTAATGTTTTTATCACGAACCAATATAAGTTGTAATGCCAAAATAGTATTTAGCCAAATGAGTAGATAAATTTTGCTTCAAAATCCAAGATATGTTGTCTTGAATGTGATTGGTCCATCCCTAAGTTATAGTCTCGCCGAATTGAGATTTGCGTCTTAAACAACCTCGTATCACCATTCCAATATATCTTGACAACCATCCTCATTACTCTGGTTTTATTCCTTACTAGCCTATCAATGAGTTTGATTTAATGCTATAACAAAAACAGTTTGTAATAAATACTAAAGTGAACATTTGCTGTTTCATATTTGAGCGTTCTCTTCACATCAATAGCTAGCCAGTTTTTTTGTTACACCACAAGAAGTAGTTATTGTTTACGATCCCAACATTTCTTTCATATTTTATGTCCAGTTATCATTGGTTCCGGTTTTATATACTGATTTCTTATGGGAATGATCCATATACACTAGTCAAGTAGTAGATAGTTATTCTTCTTTGTTGTCCAGTCATTTTTCGATCACAATGGCGTCGTGGAACACCGATTACCACGACGTGCAATGCTAACCGGTGTAGGGGATGGTTGGAAGAAAGTTAGGGGCGGCCAAACCAAAACGTGGCATCAGTGCTTGAAGTCACTAACTTCTAGTCTTAGCCATGTTGGTAGATGCAGACTACTTGGTTGGGGTCCGCGTGACTTTCGTAACCAATGGTTGGAGACTCTTGGTGACATGGCTCAGAATCGATCACAATGGCGTCGGTGTATACACTCCCTGTCTTCCCTTAAACTAAGAGATTAAAATCACTTCATATCTTTCTTTCTACGAACTAATTCTTCCTTCCTATACTATATCCTTATTGCAACCTTTGACCTAACCACTCCTATGAATCCGGTGTTCATCTTGTTGTGCTAATGAGGTATGGCAACCTGGACCGATGCACATATGTGCCTGGTCCTACGTTGTAGCTGACTGACTGACCAGTTATTTTTGCTAGGTTTCTGTTGGCTTTTGTGATATGATTACCCTATTAGCCATCTAAAGGTGACTGCTTAATGATTTTTCTGGTTAATGATTACTCGTAGAACGATGTAAAATCTTGTTTTAAGGATAATATTGCATTGAAAAATCTAGTTGATGCTGCTTTGAAATCTCATTCATTATTATAGGAAAGTCTTGAATGGAGTTTCACACTTTTAGCATGGCACCATACTTCCCAATAATTCAGGTAATCTTTGTAGTACACACACATGTCAGCAAATTAGATCAAAATTCAGTAAATTGTATCAACAAAAGTAGAATTTCAACCTATACCAACAGTGATCTAAGCGTCATACCCGTCTCAATTGTTAGTGGCCATCTGAACTCAGTAGCTCAGTAAATAATGTGTTAAGGGCTTGAAGCGAAAGGTATTGGGTTCGAGTCCTATTGCGGAGATCGGAATGAGGAGCAGGCACATCCAGCTCTCGAGTCTCAAAAAGGGTAAGATATGTACCCCAAACCTCACTGCTAGCTACACTTCATCTATTCTATAATTCAGGATAGTCCATATGCACGTATCAAATATATAGCACATCTGATTTCGAAGTGAAGTGCAAATATACATAATAGGTCGCTAAGCACATGGATAGTTAGGCATAACATGGAATCCGAAGGAAATTTCTGATACTTCACTTTGCATCACATTCATTTAAAATGAGGATATTGGTAAAGAATCAATAAACTAGGAGTGAATAAATCAGTGTTGAGTGAAGAATGACTAACTAGTGATTATTAGGAGTATTTGAATTATTGTACAAACCAGGAATCCCAAGAATAGCGCGACTTAACTAAGAAGTATTAGATAAGCATAAACGAACGTATTGTATTTGGGATTCGAAATCAGACAGTCATCAAGCACAAAGACCCCCAAATGCCCTCGTACGTATGAGGGTGGGGAAAGTCAGCTCTCTCTCAAGAAATGCTCTCACATGGTTACGCGTATACAGCCACTTCCAGGAAAGCCCTACTCACTGCTTTCTCGTGGCGCGGGTGTTGTTTACGAAATTGAGAGGATGGAAAGCGAATGTCCAGCGCTTTAACCGGGTTGGTGGACATGGAGAGTCCAGGACACAGGTGAGTCCTTCTCAATTTCGATTGTTAATTCTAATACTAATGAGTACATTCTAGATAATACATAGTCTACATCCAATGCACTGTCGAACATGATGAACTTAAGGAGAAGACGTACAATCGATTACAGAAACTTAGACTCCAATTTAAGCTGTGGCGAATGTGGTGTTTGTATGAATTAACTATTCATTTGTAATTGTTTATTATTATTTCTTTATTTGATCACATAAACATTGGTACGAAAGGGTATTGAACACATATGCGCCATACAAGTCACTTGATTTGTTTATTTGCTGTGATACTGCCTGGGTGCCCAAACAAAAGCAGGTGATTTTCTCAGGTCACACCCGGAGCCTTCGACCTAAAGGTCTAGTCTGCAAGGCAGTGGCAACATCAGAAGACTCAGTTACATGGTAGCCGGTGACCAACGATTGGTTCATGTTCCATTTGTTTCCTCAGGATCATGGAGCCCATGTGACCATTGGTTTGTAATTAGGGTTCTCCAACTCCCTAGGTGAACTCTCCATGTCCACCAACCCGGTTAAAGCGCTGGACATTCGCTTTCTATCCTCTCAATTTCGTAAACAACACCCGCGCCACGAGAAAGCAGTGAGTAGGGCTGTATACGCGTAACCATGTGAGAGCATTTCTTGGGGGAGAGCTGAATTTCTCCACCCTCAGCCGTACTATTTGGGGGCAGTAGTTTCCTGAGTTACATAAGGATGTGAAATAGGCTTCTCTGGAAATGCCGAAGTTTTTAATAAGTTGTAGATTTCTTTTCCAATGAATGCAAGAAAATTAGCCACAATGTTAACATCCTCAACATCGTCCTTGGTCATAGCCCAGATTTCGAATCTTTCCATGTAATCTTCAAAAGCATGGAAATTCGAATGTATGTCCGATTGTCTCATCACAGGCTCCATCGCGACGCCAATGTGATTGTTAGGAGTATTTAGATTATTGTACAAACTAGAAATCCCAGAAGTAACGCAATTGTACCGTGACGAATTAGATGAACACAAACGAACGTATAGTATATGGAATTCGAAATTAGACAGTCATCAAGTACAAAAGAATCATTAGTTCATACAAACACCACACTAGTTTTCAACTTTATTACCTTAGGTTTTAAACAGTTGATTTCTAGGATCTCGTATATTTTTGTTAAATGGCTTACATTTGGTTAAACTAATCATTTAGTTAGTCATAGACTATTACATATCACAAAGTCAGTTAATAGTATATGGTTTCATCTCCCCAACTTCTTTACTAACGATTTTTGGATATCACGATAATAATGTGTACCGTCTAGAAAAGTGGAATGCCACATCTTTTAGATTAAATATCGTAATTACACTATAAAGTGCTGTTAGTATAAACCATTCAGTTAACACCCTCCAAGCTCTAAAACCCTGTCAAGAAATACGTATAAGTTTTTCCAATTTTACTTTTCAAGCTGCATAAAGTAGGTGTTTATGTTGTGCGAAACGGCAATAAAAGCTCTATTAGTAAACTGTCTAGATCTGAAAACTCAGCATTACCGAAATAATCCAACTATATATCAAAAAATTATAGACCTTACAATTTTTAAAAAAAGCTATCTCTTAAGTTAATTATTTTGTTTTTATGCAATTATTTTATTTAAATCTGGTTCTCTGTCATGCTATGAAATAATTAAGTTTATTATATAAGATGAAACTATATTCTTTTGTTTGGACTGATATCTCAGGTTTTGAAGATCGTTTTCGAATAAAAATAATTTTTAAACATTAACATGTAGTTTACGTAATTTTACATGAATAAAAATATTTAACAGTTTAGATAACTACTTTATGGCAGTGAAACATGGCTGGTAGGAGTAGAGGATATTCGTAAGTTACTAGTATTCGATCATAGATGTCTTCGAAGCATTGCTCGTATATCCTGGGACCATCGAGTAAGTAATTCAGGTGTTAGGAAATGGGTACTAGGTAAGGATGACAAATCAATTGGTAAAGTAGTGAGACTCCATCAGTTGAGATGGCTGGGACATGTGCTACGTATGTTCAACCACTGACTGCATCGACGTGCGATGTTTTATGGTGTAGGAGTAAGTTGGAAGAAAGCTAGTGGTGGTCAGACCAAAACATGGTGTGGTACGTACTACTTATATTGATATAAGTAGTATATGACGCGAGTTAGGAACGTAATGTCTGGCAGCAGAAGATGGGGGAAGATCAAGAAAGGAAGAGCGGGACCACGATGCAATTTGTATGAGGACGCATGAACAATGAAATGTGAGACAACGGATTTATGTTTGCAACAGAAACAGTCCAGTTTGATATGACGGATTGATATTTTGCAAATTAACGATTTACTGTATGGTTCTCAGATTTAATTGAGATGGTTCCCACTGGTGTTCTTGTTCACTACAATGGCACAAATCCATGAAGTTATTGACAAGTGGACTGAACCATGTTGGTAGGCGTAGACTACCTGGTTGGGGTCCGCGAGACGATAGCAACCTATGGTTAGAGACCTTGAATATCATGGCTCAAAATTGTTTGCAATGGTGTGCGCAGGTGCATCCACTCTTTTTGTCCTCCCGAATTCTAATCTTTAGAATTCTTCATGTCCTTTTTTATTCTCTTTCCAAATTTATTTAACTGGATTATACTCCTTGAATAACATCTTCAAACCCTGATGTTTCCGATTACTGCTTATACTTTTACTACCTCTACCACTATGGGATTTGAATCGACAGTTGTATCTATGTGGTGATGTGGTATGGCAACTCGAACTGATGTACGTACGTACGAAGTTCTTCGTTGTTGTTGACTGACTGAGATAACTAATACTTTTTTGATTGTATTCGATCTGTTGAAGTCTTTTTCTGTATAATAATTAAATTATAAGGCCTAGTTGCATGGATTAATTGACTTTTCTAATACAAGGAAGCTTCTCTCTTTTACGAATGTATCTACATTCGTTTGAATAAATATTTGCCGGGTATCATTTTCTTAATAATAAATCATTCTCTCTGATATCTTATTTGATATTATGATAGTTTTTTATCCAGGCGTAAATCACTGCTTTTTTATCCTATATTTGTCATCTTTTTTCAGTACTTCTGCTGTCAATGTTGCTCGACAACTTCTACAAGCTCTTAATTGGTCGGATTTATTTGATTACACAGAAATCTACCCTGGGTCTAAAACTGCTCACTTTAAGAGGTATGTATTAATTGGTTTCACATTTAATTTTTTTAAATACAGATAAGATCCTAAGAAGGTATAATTTCGAAAAGATTTGTTTTCAGATGACTAAATAAACAACGTTTCAGTTGCTTAGAACAAGTCTAGGATCGGAAAGTTTAAAAAACGTATTTTACATCTCTATCTAGACGATTGTTCGAAGACCGTATAGCTCAATATCTATAACTATAGACAAACACCGCCCTATGAAATCCAGTCTGAAATTTAGCGTACTATTTTAGTTTGGCAGCTCAGTAATTATCCAACATTGTGCTTTTGGGTATTCTACTTCTTTTTTAGTCAAATTGGTTTATGTTTAAGCTGTTTGTTGCGGTAGTTAACCCTTCCACGGCTTGAAATTTTCTGATAAATATATGACCAGCAAACGCATTTCACACACAAAGCATACTTTGTGTGATATATTGGATACATAAAAATTGTCTGCTCTGGCCCTTATCGAACTCGGTTACTTGGATTACCTGATAACACTATTTCATCTAAATAGTCCTCAAATCAGAACACAAACGGAACAGGAAATTAATTATATTCCAAAAACAAAACAGCTGACGAAGTTGAAGTTTCAGTAAAAAAATCTTCTAATGTATTGATAACTTTTGTACAGGAAGATTCTAGAAGTTTCTCCATTTATCTGCTTGCAGTCATTGGATGGGAATGGGCCAATCAGCATGCCCCAACATAATCGTGTATGGAACATGCTTTAATATATTCTTTTTCCTGTTAACAAGGGCCGATCGATAAAAGTCCTGACACTACTTTAATTAGAACCTACCTTTCAGCCAAACTAGTAATCCCCAATCAATTCAACTAATGGTTGATAGGCACCTCTTTCTTCTTATCTTCAAACATTTTCCAGAATTATTCTCGAAATAAATAAAAACCTTTCACATTTTCATTTTAATCAGTCAGTCATGCGTAATGTAAAAGCCTGGCAAATATGTGCATCGGCTCACATTGTCAAACTACATTACCACAGTAGAATACAATTACCAGGAAAAATTCCAGAATAAAGAAAGTTGTAACGGTATTGGTAGTGGTAGTAGTAGTAGTAGTAGTAGAAAAGGTTAGGTATAGATAATATAATTCGAGAATAACAAATAAATTTTCAGAATATAGAGTATAGAGTAATGTAAAGCGAAGACAAAGAATGAATGCACATACTCCATTACAAATGATTCTGAGCCATACCACTTAAAATCTCCAACCATTGTTCACGATGATCGTGTAAACCCTAATCTAGTATTCTGGACCTGTGTACTTACATAGTTTAGTTCAGTTGACAATGATTTCTTGAATTAATAACATATTTTAGTTTGACCATCTTTCACTTTCTTCAAACCTACTTGTACATTAGTCACTACCTTCAATTATAATCTATTTTTTATTTACTCTATATATTTTTTAGATTTCATGAATTATCTGGTATAGACTATGCGGACATGTTATTTTTCGATGATGAAACTCGTAATATTCTTGAAATTTCCAAATTAGGTGTACAATGTCATTTAGTTCAACATGGAATAACATTAAATCTCTTAGAGGATGCATTAAGAAAATTTCAACAACAAAGAAGAATTCATGAATATTTAAATTAACTAACCTATTAATTGTAGTTATTCCATAAATGCAAAATTATTATTATTATTTAAAAGTAAATTGTTTTGTTGCTGTGTTTTGAAGAAGTAAATTATATATTTTCGTATGAATTATTGTTATAGGATAAATCAAATCAACATTTAAGAGATTTTAATCATTCATATTTTTGTGATAAACCTGCTATAGTGGTATATTACTCCTAAAAATCAGTAGTAAATGGTAGTAGTATTTAATGGAAAATACAGTTCATCTAGGAAAAAAAATATTAGCAGAAAGAATCTTTTTATTCAAAGAAGTTTCACTTTGATGAAGAGTAATAGGAGAAGAGAGCTATGATAGTATTAGTGTAGGTTTGTATTTTGAACCATGTTGGACTGTCTGGGAATTTAGCCAGGAAGTCGTAATAGACCTGAACATTTTTCTTCCATACCTTTATGCCATGCAGTAAACTATCTCTGATTTTTTCTAACTGACCTCAACGTTTGCAATAATGGTCGACATGAAAGTTGCTGAGGTGACATTTGTAGTACATCTTCAAGGTAGTCCGCACAAGATGCACGTATGTCACATTGCAAGTGGAAATAAGTGAATTAAATTCATTTTGTTCATCGACCATTCTTACTACTTGGGCAAGAAAGTTGCGAACATTTACTCCAAAATTTATATACCCAATACAGTTAGAAGTGCCGCATTTACAGTCATTTTGTTATCACGAATATATGTGGTCGACGAAGTAGAATTAATTTTTTAGCCGCACAGCTGAATATCAGTTCGGAAGGAAATAGTTTTTAATAATTTGTAATTTTACATATTCATAAATAGTTCACTGACAAATTCATCCTAATCAATGGTAGATTTAATACTATTTTGTATTCGGCTTCCGTTGAAATACCTGACTAGTCGAATATTTTGTCAAATATTTAAATAATTAAATTATTTCGAGGTTTTCTGAATTTCTGGTAACTTTGTTGAAAATATGATTTTATCTTTATAGCTACTGACAAATTATAGGTAGTTATAAACGTTTAAGCTTTATTTTATATGGATCAATCATTTTTTATGCTGAAAAATACAATTAAGTTAAACAAATAAACTAATCAACACTTCGTAAAATATTATTGCTAATAATAACTTGCAAATTATTTATCTTATTCGTAGCAGAGAGTCATTACTATACCCTTAGGACGTAGAATGTTGATGATATCACGAAGATAGAAATCCATCGAAAACGAGAAGTGTTCTTAACACCAATAACATTTAATAAACCCCATTAATCTCTTATGCTGTTGGTTATCATATTTTTACTAATGAACGATCTCAGAAGTTAGTTCTGGAATTCTAATGAGAAGCCATGATCAGTGAAATTGACATGTTTCGGGTGTACGGCAGTTATTCACAGATGACATTAGGAAATGATCGAGGAACATCGTGAAATTAACGCACTTAACAGCGTACAACATTCGATTCCGACTCGATAAACTAGATGTTAAAGGTTCGTGAGTAATACCACAAGTTATGGGTTTGACCCTTGGTGAGATTTTGTATGTGCACTGGTCAAGTCAGAAAGGAAGAATTGAACACACTTAAAGGTATTATATTTAACAATTTGCATTAAGCACAAAAAATATATAAAGGGATAATCGTTTAGCATGAGCAACAAAATGATTTTTATGTGAGTTACCTTACAGGTGCATCTGTAATTTATATATACCAATTATTGAGTTAGCATGGAATAAGTGAGTTTACTCAATATGAAGATATAATTTCATCATTCAAGACAAATAACTAAAATGATTACCATTATTTAACTTTAACAAGAAGAATGCAAGCGTACTAGTAAAATTTATTTGACTGTCACCAGGTGAATTTCAAGTCTTTCTATATTTTCTATTGTACACATCTATATATGTATATGAATATATTTAGCTAAACTGTTGTATTCGATACACTTGAATCACGTGTACTGTCAGAAACTTTTATCACGTTATAGTTTTAATATCAAATTTCCGGAAGATTTGTCCATGTATATGTTTATCGATAAGGGCAGGGAACTAGATACAACTAAGTGTCTGAATGTTATAGTAATCATTGTTAATATGTAAAGTCTTGTGATGTGTGGTATCTGAAATCTGGTACTGATACACGGTATTCTATGCTCTAACCCCTCCCTCCCCAACTGAATACTTGAACGAGAAAATGTACAAATACTCATTCATATATATATATATATATATATATATTCATTGTTTTTCGAAAACACTTAACTTTGTAACATTACCGTAGAGTCCACTGACATGAATTAGTTAGTTAGAACTGATTTTTGTTCGCGGTTGTGAAATTCATGTATAGATATGTTGTTAGAGAAATAAGAATAAGTGACATTCTTATTAATACCGTTGAATGACGACTCAGTGGTCTAGAGGTTAAAAACTCGCGCGCGGGACTGAAGGTCTCGGATTCGAGTCCCATGAACATTAGGGTTTGAAGATGTTATTTAAGGAGTATAATGCAGTGAAATGAATTTGGAAAGAGAAAAGTGAAAGGGACATGAAGAATTCAGAAGGTTAGAATTCGGGAGGACAAAAAGAGTGGATTCACCTGTGCACACCATTGCAAACGATTTTGAGCCATGATATCCAAAGTCTCTAATCATCGGTTGCTATCGTCTCGCGGACCCCTGAAACCAGGTAGTCTACGTCTACCAACATGGTTTAGTCCACTTGTAAGTGACTTCATGGATTCGTGCCATGTTTTGGTCTGGCCGCTCCTAGCTTTCTTCCAATCTACTCCTATACAACAAAATATCGCACGTCGAGGCAGTCGGTGGTTGGGCATACGTAACACGTGTCCCAGCCATTTCAACTGATGAAGTTTCACTACTTCACCAATTGGTTTTCCATCCTTACCTAGTACACATTTCCTAACACCTGAATTACTTACTCGATGGTCCCAGGATATACGAGCAATGCCTATGATCGAATACTAGTAACCTACGAATATCCTCTACTCTTACCAGTCATGTTTCACTGCCATAAAGTAGGACGGAACGAACTGCTGCGCAGTAAACACGTCCCTTGGTTGATAGACGGATATCTCGCCTACGCCATAAATGACGCAAAAGCTAGTTGAGCCTTCTGTATCCGTGCTGAGATCTCGTCACACACCAGACCACAAGGGCTGATGTGACTTCCGAGATAAGTGAAGCGGTCGACACGCTAAACCACTTCACTCCCTATCATTAGTTCGGGTGTCGATGCAACCCAATCCTGAAGCAACATTTTGCATTTCGAGGGAGAAAATCGCATTTCGAACATGCTTGCATTGTTGCTTAGAGTGGTCAGAAGACTGCATTTTGTCAGCATCCTCACCAAGTATAACTATGTCATCGCTATATTCTAGGTCGTGGATGTACACTTCTCATGAGTCTTATAGTAGAACGAAACGACCATTCATTGCTTCCAGGTTTTCAATGGTGGTTTAACTTCAATTAACTCATGAATCCAAGTATTGAAATTATGATCATCTTCACATACCTCATTCTGATTTATTTATTTTGTTTACGTGTTGTTTTAAAACAATCAAACAAATTCTAAAATTAACATTAAACATTAATTAACATCTAAGATAATAAATGAGATTGTTTAATGTTACACAATTTTGTTTTTAAATTAACGAATAAACTATCTTACAATGATGATAACAGGAAGTGTACTATTAATAATCTTACTAATAATATATACTACTGATATTATTGCCATTAGTAGTATTATTATGTCAAATAATTCTGATAGATGAATAGATAAAGAAAACACATATAGATGTATTATTTATTGAGTAATGAACATGTTTATTTATTTATTTATTCATTTATTTATTATTACTATTATTATTACTGTTGAGTTATTTTAAAGAAACAAGTCATCTAATGTTATTATTATCTTACTGTTAATATCATTTTGTGATGGAGTATTCAGTTGATGATACAGTTCATGTCACAAAATTTCGTAAAAAGAAGATCAATCATAAAAGAAAAATTTGTCTATCAGATTAAAGTAATTTTTATTGAATTGACTTTTAATATATTCTCGATGGATTTATGTAGTCAGAGTGAATTTTACTGTTTAATCAGGGAGTGAACCTGGGTTCGTTGTCCTCGCATTCGAACACTTATTCCCTTAGAACTCTGATCCAGAATCTGGTAGTCTATAAGTCTAGATTCAATCAACCTATATCTTAATTGCGTGAAAGGTAGCCACCCAAGACAATGGTAGATGACCGCGCTATATCATAGATAGTTTTATACGCCGTCGGATTCTGATTCAGTGGTCTAGAAGTTAACTGTTCGCGTGTGCGATCAAAGGTCATTGGTTCAATTCTTGTCTGCTATATTGTTGCAGCATACTGCGACGATCAAATATAACAAAATTGTACTGTACTGTTTATTCAAATAAATAAATAAGAATTAACGAACACACAGATACACACACACACAAATTGATCCAGTTTTGATATTCAACGAAATAAAGCATGGAATATAAACAACCAATTGATTAAAATTAAAAAAATTTTTTTTTCATTCTATCAACATAAATTAACTACAGCAATGTATATACAATATAATCAATGTTAATTTATAATTTGACCGGAAGTTCAGTTCCGTTTTATTTCAATCCTATTCAGAACTATTCCTTCTTCTATATTAATTTGTGTTTTATTCGTTCTTCAACTATTCTCTCTCTCGCTCTCTTTCTCTCTCTTCTTCTTCCCTACATATGTATATACTTACACTTACGTATATAAGTGTGAAAATATTATTTCTTTTTTCAGATTTTCTTTTTTTTTTAACTTTTTTTTCTTTTTTTAGGTTGAAACAAATACAAGATAAGAGAAATTAGCAAGTAGGTAAAAATTCTCATTCACTTATTTTACTTTTTTTTCTTTCTATTCTCTTATTCCCATGAGTAAATATAAAAGGTGTATTTATGTATGTGTATTGTAATCATTTTCATCTCATTTTTATGCATGTGTAACTCACAAATACTCAGTAGTAT